TGTTATTCAGTTTCAGGTCTACCGGATCCAGGACAAACAGAGGCTCTCTGCTATGTCAGATACTTTACTGAAGGCCAAGAAAGCAGTTCATGACCAGAGCTGAGCCGTGTCCTGCATTGCTGTTTCTGCTTTGATCACAGCCCTCTTGCAGGAACCAAAAATTCCTTGGGTAGTTCAACAAGGCAGAGAAAAGAGAAGGGGCAATCAGAGCAGAGAGGAAATAAGCTTGTGGTGAGGCCTGGGATGGATAGGTCATGTCAGCAGAAGGGGAGAGGTGATGGGCTCACTTATGGATTTTATACAACCTCTGCCTTTTAATGAGCAGGTGAATATACTCTGTGTATGGTTTTCTGTTTAGGACACTCAGCAGTCCCTTATCATCATACCAGTAGCTGAATTCTCTGTACATACTGTGCGAGCCCAGCTGGTTGCAATTACACTTAATATTTTTTGTTATTTGGACTGGATCTTCTGCTGGGAAATATGGTGCTCCTGGGCAAATCCAGTCACACAAAGACCTGTTGTGCCACATGTCTCTGTTTATTAATATAGTGTATTCCACCCTCTGTTCACATCGCATGTACTGGCAAATTTACACATGCACATGGTGTTTGTTTTTGTATGGTTTTGTATATCAAATCCTGCAGTTAGAGCCTGGCATCTGATCCTATGGTCCTGATTGGTTTAAAATACCTTTTTTGGAGGATGTAGCTTCCTGATTGCAGGACCACTGTGTGCTGGTGGCCTAGCCCCTGCTGGCTGTGGGGACAATTGGGGCAGAGGCTGCAAGGAAGGAGAAGGAAGAAGTGGACAGGGCTGAACAAGAAGCCATGTTCCTAGAAGGCCTTGGGCCTGCAGATCAGAGCACAGCTGCCATGCTGCAAGGAGTGTAAAGGGAGGCTATGAGTGCAGAGGGTGTAGATAAGCCAGTTCTCTGAACTAGGCAGCAATAGATCCTGCACTGCTTATAACTTTTAAAGACTGCAGGGTGCTAAGGAGGGGACATAGGAGCAAAGTAGGCCTGGCTGAAGAGACAGGGGCTTACCTGTGCTCCCCATCATGTAAACAGGACACTTAGCTCCTTGCCCCCCTATGTAGGCCCACTCTGGCTTCTGGGCAAGAGCATCACACAACACTGCTGATGCACACTCAGGTTGCACTGGGTCCCTATGACCACCTCACCTTTCCCCTTGTATGCTGGAGTGCATTGTTCCACAACTGAATGCTGCAAAATCAAGTCATGATCAGGGCTGTGGGATAATTCTGTATGCTGCTGCCTCACCACCTCCTCCTGCTGTGGACAGGTTGAAAGCCAAATCAGATCTATGACTGCACCTATCAGCTGGATCATGTTATTCCACTCCTCCAGCACCTCATTGGCCTTGTCCCCTCTTGTTTTTTCCTGTCAATCCCACACTGCCCTGACCACATGCTGATTATTTGCCAGTAAAGCAAACACTCTGAATGTCCATGTGCAGATCCAATCAATACTGCAAACAGCCAGTTCTCAATGGAACGGTCTGCCCTTCTGAGTCTGAAAGGCTCCTTTCTCCCCTGGAAGGTGCTTCAGCTGGCCAGGTGTTCACCAATATTTTGCCAGGTACAATAGAT